GCTTGGAATTCCGACCCATCTGCAGCAAGAACTGAGCATGCCCAGGTAAAAGTTCGATCACTTAAACACTTCAAAACGGGTGAGATTTTCATCACACTCACCAGCTATTCCCCGTACAAGGAGGAATTGCGGCGTCCATTTACAATTCAAAGTCGAATTTCGACATCGCTACTAGGCTTGTCCTTGTGCAGAACGAGCATACTGATGGCGAATTGGAGTATGGCTCTGGCTCCATTCTGCACTTGTGTGGCCTGCCTTCGAAGCTCACTCAAAGACAGCGTGGCCCAATTTTTTGACACACTGTCTCTCTCTCGGCTCCGGGAGTATGTGGCTCAGGGTCTCACCTTAGCAGCGCCGCAATTGCGAGGCTCTATGCTTCTACAAACGAAGATTCCTCAACCTTCTTGCTCCCAACTGTCAACTCAAAAGTGTCTGCTGCTCTAGTACAGCTCTGCCAGCTCCTGGCAAGAAGCTTCACAACGACAATGGAGAATGGCAGGCTGGCTAACTGTTCCTCTTGAGAAGAACTCGAAAATGGGTAGTTCCCAAAATTAGGGTCCCATTTTGGTACCCTAAAGACTAGGTGCTGTCATATTAAAATGGAACCATCGTTTTGAGAACAACGCAAATGACGGTGATGTTCTGCTACTGCCCCTCTTTCATTGTTCATTAAGTACTGCGCTGTTATTACCAACTCTTGCCGGCCACATGCACCCATAAGCAGCAACCAGCAGCGACAGCGACAGGATTACTGGATCAAGAATCAAGATGGTTGCTGCAAGCTGTTGTTGGCAAAGCGTCGCAGCGCTTCCAGTGGCAAGGCCCACGGTCCGCGGACGGCGCGTGCCAGGCCCTCTTGCATGCTCATCATAAGTCATATCAGACTGCATGGGAGACAGGTCCACAACGCTTCTTGCTGCTAATTGGTCTAAAGTGAAGCACTTCCGCAAAATGTGCCAATCAACGGACGCATTCTGCAGGTGACATGCAACCTGTGACGGAACAAAACGACATCTCACTCAACAACCCACAAAGCCTTGGCATATCCCAGGTCGACAATGTCAGGCGACACTGCAACCTGAATACCAGGTAGCGAATGTGCGTACAGGGCTGCCACCTTGAAAGAGGCAAGCGCCTGCATGTGTTCAGGCAGAAGCAGCAACATCCTCAGCTTCACAATCAGAGTTCCCGACAGCCATGAAGGCTGTCCAACTTTTAAGTTAGCCACACATATGGGCTCAACGAGAGTGTCACGGCACTCCAACGGTCTACAAGTACAGCGCGACGCTTCAGAAGCAATGAGCTCCTGCCAACCTGTTCTCGAGCGAAAGTTCGAGGAGTCTAAGGCAAAGCAAAGCAACAGAGCCTCCGATAGACTGCAGAGAAGTAAAAGCACATTTGACTGAAGAAAGCGGACACTAGGAGCATACATATCTGCAAGGCGCAGTTCCGATGCTGTGCAACACGAGGGCCCTAGTGCTACTTGCAACTGCGTGTGGCCCTGCCGGCTGCCTTGCTGCCACCTACTGCAGCTGTCACAGCGTCACGTTGTGGACAGGGCTGCCATCTCTTCTGCCCATGGTGCTGCGCAACTGTGTCTAGTGTTGATCGCCGAGCGGCAGCACCCAAAGCTCGCCACAAGACCAGGGTGACAGTTCCGCACTGACATCCTGCAGTGGAAGTGAGACGCCTTGTTCAAATTGCTGTCTGCTGTTTAATGAACTGCGTCTCCACTGGCATCTCTAATCATCCTTCTGACTTTCGCGGTGTGTACCTGATTGCCCCCAGCGTAGCCGAGGGACGACTGGAGTTTTGCCGTTGCTGCCCTGACTTGTCTGGACCTGACATTGATTTCATCAGACCAGGCAAGGGAAAGCTAGCGTTTCTTTCACGAAGGGGTCCTGACCCACGACCCAAACCCTCCAAGGCCGAAGGCTAAAAGACAAAATAAGAGCTGTCATGGACACAGCACAAGCTCAAGCCTTGATGTAGCGCAGCGCCGGAAAATTGGCGCCGACTTCTCGGCAGTAGTCACGCGTTGCCACATCATAAGCCTGCATCTGAACAATCAGCCCTCGAATAATAAGTGGCACGTGTGGTCCACGTCTCTTCCACTACTCAGCACAAGCAATCCGCCGATTTAACCCGCGCCTGTGTGTGTGTGTGTTTAACACCCTGTGTTCCAAGGGCAAGTTTTTTCAATTGGTTTCATTTCTCAGGAAATGCAGGGGGCAGGAGCTCTCCGTGGGGGTCTCCCGCCAACGAAGACAAGGGAGGGGTGAAAACGTACCCGCT